CTCCATTAAAATTAGTTATTTTCTTGTATATATATATATATTTTTTTTTTTTGGTTGCCAACAATATTAGTATTTTGATTAAGAAAATAAAGATATAATTATTAGACTAATTCAAGTTTCAAGATTTCAAGTACGTGTTTCCCTCCACTGGATCCGAGATGCATTCTAAAATGTTTTGACTTTTTTTATTCTTAATTTTTAATAATATTGATCTGTGAGATTTTATTGGTATTATTAAGTTACAGATTCGATTTTTAGAAACAAATTTTCTAAAAATAACGAGATTCACTCTTTAAAATAGAAATATTTTTCCTTCTTCTATGTTCTACACCAAACATGGTCATGTTTGAAAAATACTAAACAATATTAAATGCTCTTTACTCAAAAGTATTAAAAAAGTAAAGCGTTTACATTTATAATTTAGTAAGGACCTTTTTCTTGTCGTATATTAAGTGGTTTTTAATAGCTTAGAGATTAGTAAAAAATATGAGTATTTATTAGTTTCTTGACTACGGCCAAAAAAAATTCTTGACTTAGTTTTAGTATCAATCTTTATACGCAAAATTAATTTCTGTGAAAAACTTTAATCAAAAAAAAAAAAAAATCACACAAACTTTGATGAAGAATCGTACAAAGAAGGACAAATCTGTTGAAAATGCATTTTTTTTTTTGTCGTGTGTTGAAAAGCATAATCTTGAAAAAGTTGCTCTGACTCTAAATTAAGGTAAGAAACAAAAACGTAGTCGTTTCAAACGATTTTGTTTTTAAAAAAAGATTAGGATTCCATTTCTCAATGTACCATACTACTAGTACTAGTGTTTGTTGTGTGTGAGACTAGTAGCAATCTTTTTTTTTTTGTAGTCTTGTGCTTTAGTTGATGTATATAACTGTAAAACGGCATCAAAAGGAATCAATTTTGCACATTGATTCGCGTGTGCGATATGATTTTATTGCGTTGCGTTTCCTTTTTTTAATTAGTAATTGGTAAGCTCTTATAGCAACCGTTGGATTTAATTAAAAAAACCGAAGTCGTCATCAATCGTTGGGACCACGATTTTTTCGAGCCGCCCTTATTTTTTTTATTTTTCTTTCTTCTCCCGAATGTTCGAATCCCTCACGACTCACGAGCAT